ATAGATAGATAGATAGATAGATAGATAGATAGATAGATAGATAGATAGATAGATAGATAGATATTTCTGACAGTAATTCTATGTTTACACAGTGCTACACTACTGTCTAAGTCTAAAACCTAAGTTCAGTACCGATTCACCCTCTGGGGGTTCCTGGTGAGCAAAAAGAACACATAAAGCAAATGATAGATACCCTTTTCACCAGATTCGGTAAATTTTGTATAAAAATATTGATTTATTAATCAATGAGAAGCTTTTTGCTGATACTTACACCACTTTCCCTGTCTGGAGACCCTCTGTGAAACATTAAGGAAGAAAAAAAGGGAAAAATTAAAGGTTCCTTGCTCTAAAATCTACTTATTAGTTAATTTATTTTAAAAAAGAGGTAAAATTAGCTTTCAAGGTATGATTAAAACACTTTTAATATGTTTCAACTTAATAAAAACATTACAAACCATTCATCAGCTAAATTAATGTATCTGATCAAAGATCATATTTAACATCAAGTTTCATCCTTCCATCTTTGAAAAAGGATGAGGGGCATCAGGAAGCAAAAACTGCACTTACGTTGAGTCGTTGTCCTTCTCTTTCTTTCGTATCCCAAAAGCCTTCCTGGTGCGTTTTTTCAATCCTGAAAAAAATCAAAAAGAGAAACCAAAGGGATGAATAAAGGGGTAACTCCATTGGGCGGATTAAAGGGTAGCTTGGAGCAGCCGCACGTCATGTGGATTAAAGGTAAGATGTATTATTTATTGACTGGCCTCATCACTGTGAAAAGAAAACTGTTGAAACTACAAATACATTCAGGGTCATTAGATATTGAACGACAGCCTTGTAATCATCAAGGAAACCTTTTAGACAATCGCTATGGAAAATTAATCAGGATTGTGAAAATCAATAACGCAGCAATTCACTTGGGACAGTGATATATTTGGAGAAAACTACCAAAGGTCAGACAGTTTAATACATTACAATAAAAGCACGACTCAAAATACAATAGCTAATATATTCAAAGAAGAATTCTTCATAAAGTGAAGCAAATTATGGAGAACAGTGATTATCCTCTTCATCCGACTGTTAAAAAAAGAACAGTCTTCAATAAGAGGCTTCTCCAGGTCCGGAGTAAGACAGACCTCTACAGAAGATCCTTCCTGCCTACAGCTACCGACACCAACAACACCTGTTTACTGCAACATTTAATTTACCTTTGGTATTAATAAAGTGTGTTTAAATTTTAATCAAATTGAATATTAAATAACGGTAATAACATGTTAAAAAAAACTGCGATGGACTGGCGACCTGTCCAGGGTGGACCACGCCTCTCGTCCGTAGACAGCTGGAGATAGGCACCAGCACCCCTAATGAAAATGGATGGATGCATGGAAAATGGTTAAAAAAAAAAAAAAAAAAAAAAGAAGCAAACTTTAAAGAAAACATTGTCCTGCTAAAAATGGATAGTCTTCTATGGGGTAATACAAACAATCACTGAAGTTTACAGTAGAAAAATGATTTATGTCCTGAAAGAACACGAAATCTTCTGCAAAATACTAAGGTAGCACAGACAAGAACAGCTGAACCAAGCAGCTTTATAAAAAAAAGGCGGCAAAGCTGTTCATTTTTAGATCCATCATATTTGATTTTAATCCCATTTTTCCTTTAAACATTAAGCATTGCTCTAGCTCAGCTGTTAATGAATACTTTGAAACATGTACTTTAAGGGTTAAATTAACTGAGCTACAGCTTTTGTTTTAAAACATTTCAACATTGCAGCACTTCCTTAATAGGTTTAAAAAAGAGCAACTTGATTTTCATCTTCTTCACCCTAAATGAGATCAAATGTAGTTTGTTTAATTTATTTCTGCAAACTTAGGTTTAACATCGAACACTGGTAAACCCTGAGGAAGTGATTGATCAGATTCTCCCACCTCTTTCTTACCCATAATAAAAGTCCAGTTGTCCCACTCCATTCTGTCCCTGCTGACTCCTCTACTTTCATTCTTCCTTGTCTTTAGTTTGCAGTGTACTCATGGTGTAATCTACCGACCGACCGACCGGTCTCTTCCTCATACCACCTGCAGACACACGCTGTACCTCTGATCAGGAACCTGATGCTCTGCTAGCTAAAGCATGCGCACACACCTGCACAGATAAGGTGTCCTGTCCTTGATCTGCATCTGGTGCTCAAGTTCAAGGGAGTTTATTTCTGAGTTCACCACAGATTTAGTTCAGAAATGTTCAAGAAAAAAAAAAACTGTCATAATTATATACTATATATATCCCATGCACCTCTTTCTTCCTTTGATTGATTGACTTTATTGATTTCACAGTGGAGAAATTTACTCATTACATACATTACCTGCAGAACTGAAGGGAGAGTCAAACTGGGTCCTTTTTAAGCATAAACTTAAAGACTTTTTATTGAGAGGTCAGACATGTGAACATTAATAATCTAACTGACCTGATCTTGTTTCTGTGATGTTTTAGTGCGTAATTTGTTCTGTTGTTTCTTGTGTACAGTCACTGTGTTTTGTGTAAAAGCCTAACTGGGGACAGGCATTGAGAATTAGCCTTAGCTAAAATGTTATAGTGTGTGACATGATTCCTGAATCATACTTGTCCCTATCAAATAAACGAACAAAATAAAATAAAATAAAAACATCAGCTCAAATAGTCAACAAATGTGCCAATCAATAAAACCATTTATGGTTCCCATCAACTATGTTAAATAAGTCAGTCAGTGTTAAAGGAAAGTTTAAATACTTGAAAAACAAAATGTCGGCATTCATTTGGACTTTTATATTATATAATTAAAGTGGGAAACAAACCAGCCCTTAAAATCGGTGTTAATATCCATAGACACAAGGTTCACTGTATTTTAACCTCTCAAAACCCGCTTTAATGCTTTTAAAAATAACTCAGAATGCATGAAAATTACACTGGTTAAATGTTTACCAATATAGACATGTTAGGCATCGTCGGAAAGCTTAGATTCTCCACAATTCAACCACCAAGTTCACTTTATGGACACAGCGAGCACCAAAGCACAATTATAGCAGCATGTCAAATTGTAGCATGAAAAAGCAGCCACAACAAGCAAGCATGTCTTTATAACTGCTGTTCAAAAAAGACTATTTTTGAGAATAAAAAAAACAACTTTGAGTCATGTTTGAACTGATGCAGCCTGGGTGTTTTACTCACCCAATTTTCATGGATATATTCAGAAACTATAAGGTGTTAGCTTTCAAATAATGTATCACACATGTAATTTGGGATTACAGTTCCTCAGTTATTTGCTTTTCCATTTGGGGATGCAAAATAGGCGAATTTCCCAGAAATTAGGTGGATATTAAGAGGTTAAAGCAACACTGTTTTAAAGGAAACAAAATTAGTAGAATGATATTAACAGATCTATGCTGTATAATATTGAGCAAACAGTTTATGAGCCGCTGAGGAGAGAAAAAACTAACTGCTTTCCGCACTTTTTGACTGAGGGGTCTCCTGAACGGAGCAGTTAATCTATGAAACAAAAAAATTAACCAAGGAGAGACCAGAGAAATCACATCGTTCTAAGAGGATCGACATCACAAGGCGGTTGAGCTCAAAGCCTCCATAGGCAACATCACCCTGTCCCCGTCTCCTAGGTAACAAAATGGCTGACCAGACAAGAAACAGCATTCTGCCAGCGACCCAGAGATCATCCCTGTGGGGCATAGAGTTTTATCAAGGTGAAATCTGATTGTTTTTATTATGAAGTACGATCCATAGCGGTCGATTTTTTTCAACATTTAATGATGATTTACTGGGAATGATGATTTATTCAAAAATGACTAAAAAAGGGAAATAATCGCAAGAAGAGCTGGAAAGCATCTGACAGGAAAGATAAAATCCTGGCACCAGGAGTTCAGCCATGACAACAGATAACAGAAGTATCCAATGAGGAGGTCCAGAAACGGAGAGGCTTTTACTGGCTGCAGAGCTGATGGGCTGATATGAGTACAAAGTTAGAGAGATCAGTAAAATGCAGTGCAGCAGAAGCATTTAACAAGAAAAAAAGATCCAGCAAATGAAACACTTTTTATTGATACAGGAGGTTAAAAGCTAAATGTATAAACAAAGATCGGAAAGTAGCCTGCTAAGAGACACATAAGTACATCATGTATTAAATGCTGTGATAAAATACCAACAAATTATAGATATTTAAAGCAATGGTAATTTATGCTAACTGGAGTGTCTTAAGAAGACTTTCTTTTTAATTTGTTGTGTATAAAAATAAAACATTTGTTTCTTCTGCTCATCCAACAAAACATAAATTGTAAGCTTTAGAAAAAATGGACGACAAATACAAAATGAACCACACTAGAAAAACACTGATGAAGGCCTCATAAAATATAATTCAACTGGAGCTCATGCATGGCAGGTTTTTTTAAAAGCCAATCCTGATTACTTTGACATCAGTCTAACCGATCGCCAACATGTGCTGCCGATATTTATGGACCAATTCTTTGACCCCATATTGGTTTTCCTTTCTCCGTTTGCATGATAAAAATGACACAATGGTAGCAAATGTTACATAACTTTCAAACGACAAAAAAAGATTTATAAAAAACAAAAAACTAGACATTAACAATGGATAGGAAACAGAAAGACCATCAACCCTTAAGTGATCTAAAGGCTACTAGACACACTAATGCTGTGTTTTCCAAATCTTTTTCATCAGCCCCCCCTATTGTTTACAAGAACTCTCTAACCTGTTTCAACTTTTTCAGCAGCTGAACAAAGAAAAGTCCACAGCAGTACATTAAATAATGCAATAAAGTAAATTACCATCTACTTTAAATCGTTAAAATTACCATCTTTAATGTGCAATTATGATAAGTTTAGCAGTTTAGTCTACTGTGGAACAAATTTACAAATTGCTATCCATGAATAAATACAAAAATCTAAGTAATTTATTCAACTACCACACCTGCTGCAATTATACTGCACTATCGCTTTGGGTCGGATTAGAAACCATATGCATATATCGCACATACAAGAAAAAAAGGCAGAAATCAACCAAAATATCTGATGACTGTAGTGGTTTATCTCCATTTTTTAAATTCTAAGGCTTTACAGTTGATACTTACTATGAATAACTAATCCCATGTTTAGAACAAAAACAACAAAAATCCATGTCTTTTACATTCTGCTTAATAGACAAACTTATATAACTATAAATTTATTGAGACGACTTATCTTATCCAGGAGTGGGGTTTCAAAGTTTCATGGTAAAAGAAACTCTCTATTGATCATAGACTTTGTTAAAACTGAGCAGAAAATAAAACGCATACAGTGTAAGATTGCAGCAACATGCAGGTTTGTCCTTCTATAATAATACAGCAGAGAAAGTGACAGGCACCTTTCCTATCCAGGCAAGGAAAGGTAATAAAGTACTTCAAGAGTTAAATGACAGAGAGCATGTGGTTCACCCTGTTTAAAGATGATTTCCGTTCGCAATGATGCTAGGTCAACAACTAATATAATTACTGGGCTATTCTCATGACACACTAATGTAATTCTAGGAAAAAGCCAATTGATTTACAGCCAAACAGGAAAAGATATTCCAAATCTTAAAATTACAAAAGCTTTACAAAAAAATTACTAAAGCTGGATAAAAGGTTTATGTTCAGGCTGAAATATATTGTAAAACACCTCTACCATTTCTGTAAATTGGTTGTAAAATTGTATTTATTTAGAAATGAAAAAGGTCCTACAAGTTGTTGTACGATCAGCAAAGGTAGAACCTACTGTATGTTAAATAAGTGCTTTAATGTGTGAAAAAAAAAAACATACAAAAAAGGAAAAAATTTTCAGAAAGTCTTGCTTTTATTAAGTCACCTTTTTAATGTAAAAGAAATGGTTAATGTCATATTAAGCAAGAAGTTTATTAAATTGTTGTAACAAAAAAATAAGATTAAAGTTAGCAAGAACAAGGTTAGCTGCTGAGATCCTTACATCATCAGCTTTTTAATACATGGGTTTTTACCTGACTGTATGTCAGTCTGGTTAGTCCCTTTTATTAGAGATGAAGCTGGACAAATTAGCAGCTTGGAGAATTACAGACCATTAGTTTTGGCCAGCATTGTTTAAAACTGTTGAAACAATTTTACTGGACAAGTTATCAAAAGTCTGTTCCAGTTTGTTTGGCTTCAGAGCTAATGGGTTCAGATCTAAATGCTCTTAAAAAAAATAAATCAGTGCTAAATATGGGAGTCAAAATTCCTCCGTTTTTACTTGCTTTTTTGGAATCTTCGAAGCCTTCAATCATCTTAGAAAATTGTTGATGAATCTAATCAAAAAACATGCATTAGATTTTAATGTAAGAATCATAAGACATTGGTAAGGTCCATGAGGATAATAATGGGAACATATAAGGTTTTCATTTCGAGCGCTGCAGAATGACAACAATTGCTGAATATTGGTTCAGGCTATGGCCTGGAGCATGACCTTAAATACAATGTAGCCAAAGGTATAGTAATTGTATGTGGAACTGCTTTAAATATAAGATACAATATAAAATCCCTTCAGCTTACAATCACAGAGGATTTATCTAAAGGTAGATTCACGCAGATCACAAATACACTGATAGAATGATCTCCATGTTTAGATTAGATTAGATTAGATTCAACTTCATTGTCATTACACAGGTAAAAGGCAACGAAATGCAGTTTAGGTCTAACCAGAAGTGCAATAGCAGCAAGTGGAGGATAAATAATGGTTCCATAAATACAGGACATGGTTTTCTACTTGATAAATATAAGGATGAATCGCATTATAAACAGAATTTTACTAATAGATTTGTCCCATGAATATAATATATAGATAACTAGTGTTATGAACTAAATTTACAGCTGGGTATGTACCCTGTTATCCATGTATAAAAGATGTGTTCAGGAATGGTTAAATGGCTGGCCAGTTAATTTGTGTCATTTGTGTCATTGTGTCATTGTGTTAACCAGTCAGGGACCGGTTGTGTTTGGGACATGAGGCTTAGTAGCCAATGGAAGCATTTATCTAGTTTGAG